AAAAAAAAAAAAAAAAAAAGATAATATTCTGGAAAGTCTTATTTCTTAATGTGTCTAAGTTATTTCTCAGAGTGATAATATTCTGGAAAGTCTTATTTCTTAATGCGTCTAAGTTATTTCTCAGACTGGAGTCTTGCATTAATTTTTAAGAGCAATGAAAATGCATTTAGGGGCAAAAAAAGAGAAAAATGGGTGAATTATAAGAAAATCATTGTGCAAGAGTTTTCACAACATCTGTTTAATCCTCAAAGAATTTTTGCTAAAGTTAAAGTCAAGTTAACCTGTCTAAAATTTGTACAAAAAAATTTAACACAAGTGTATTAAGCTTTTATTATTTTACTTTTGTTTTGGTAGCATATTTTGCTGTTCTATCTTTGTACCAATTTACTGCTTTTTTTGTTAATTTTATAATTAAGCATATTTAAATTTCAATGATTTAATATTAGCTAAATTAATGTGTTCTTTCTTCCATTTCCTTTTCTATTCTTCCTATTTATTATTTTAAATTATCAATTCAACTCTCTGAATAATATAAATTCAAATACATTGTCTACCCTTTTTTTTGTTTCTTTTTCTGGGAGGGTGGCTTTTTTAAAAACAGGGTCTCATGGGCTGGGGATTTAGCTCAATTGTTCCACTGCCTGCATCACAAGCACAAGGTTCCAAGTTTGATCCCCAGTGCCAAAAAAAAAAAAAGAGTCTCACTATGTAGTTCAGCCTGGCCTTGAACTCAGGCTGGCCGAGGCTGGCCCAGGCTGGCCTCAAACTTACAGGGATCCTCCTGCCTCAGCCCCCAAGCACTGGGATTACAGGTATATGCCACCATGCCTAGCCTGTTAACAGTTTATTTTTAAGTGTCTAAAAAAAAAAAATTTTTTTTTTTTTTGAGACAAGGTCTTGCTATGTAATTTAGGCTGGTCCTGACCTCACCGTGTATTCCAAGTTGGTCTTGAACTCATGGTGACCTCCCTGCCTTAGCCTCCTAAGGGCAAGGACTATCAGTGTGCACAGGTTCAGCTCCCTTTTACTCTTAAAAGGGCTGAATGTCAGAAGATGGAATGTCGCACATATGTTCTTCAAACTTTCTAGAGTTATCTCATTTTAAAAGTAGTAGCCACTGGTCATGGTGACACACATCTGTTATCCCAGCATTTGGGAGTCTGAGACAAGAGGATTTACGTAAATTCAAGGCCAGCCTGAGCTACATCGCAAGATTCTGTCTCAAAAAATTAAAAATGAAACAAATTTTTAAAAATTTTAAAAAATAAAATAGTAGGGCTGGGGATTTAGCTCAGTGGTTCCACAGTCTGCCTCATAAGCGCAAGGACCTGAGTTCAATCGCTGGTACCAAAATAAATAAATAAATAAAGTAGTAGGTAGAGGACCCATTATATAACATCTCCAAATTTGGTCTGTACTGATTCTAAAATATAGCCTTCTTTTTAAAGGTTTATAACCTACTTTTCAATCATTTCTCTTTGTTTGCTATCACCCAATCCAAAGTGAAAGCTCTCTCAGCATTCTGCCTGATACATAATTGCTTATTTCAGATAAAAACATCATTTAGATATTCTCCTAAATGATTGTCTTTATAGCAATCCAGATAATTAAAACCTCCTATTATTTAGGGGCTGCAGATGTGGTTCAGTGGTAGATTACTTGGCTAATATGTTCGATGCCCTGGATTTGACCTCCAGCACCACTATATAAATAAATAAATCATCAGGGCGGGGGATTTAGCTCAGTGGTACCACCACCTGCCTTGCAAGCACAAGGTCCCAAGTTTGATCACCCATACCACAATAAATAAAAAAATAAATAATCTCATTATCATTACTATTTTTCCACGCCAATTTATAGTATCAGTCAGAAATATGCCATATATTTATTACATCCAGAAGGGGCAATTTGTTTTTTAGATTTTTGTTGTTGTTTTTTTGAGACAGGGTCTCACTGTGTAGTGAGACTAACCTGGAACTCACTGTGTAGCTCAGGCTGGTCTCGAACTTACAACAATCCTCCTGCCTCAGCCTCCCAAGTGCTGGGATTAGGCGTGCGCCACCACGCCCAACTTATATTTTAGAGGTTTTGAGACAGAGTCTTGCTATGTAGTTCAAGCTGGTATTAAACTCACTATGTAGCCCATACTGGTCTAGAACTCAGTGACCTCCTGCATTAGCCTCCAGATTATAAGGATTCTTACACTATATAAAATGGAGACGGGGAATAGACCAAGAGAATGGAGGAGGTCAGGTCCACCCATGCCTGACAACTCAATTGAAGAAAAGGAGAGGGGAAAAAAAAAAAGTCAGGTATAGTGGTGCATGCCTATAATCCCAGCATTCGGGAGGCTAAGGCAGGTGGATCACTGTGATTTCGAGGCCAGCCTGGGCTACATAGTGACTTCAAGGCCAGCCTGAACTACATAGTGAAATCCTGTCTTGATAAACAAAAAAAAAACAAGCAAAAATCAACAATAACAATAACAAAAAACTGGGCGTGTAGCTCCTTGACAGAGTACTTGCCTGGCTTGCACAGGCCCTAGGTTTGATCCATGCTACTGTCCCCCAGCTGTCTCTGCTATAAATACTTTCCAGACTTCTCAGTCTTACGAGTTCTTGTAAGATTCAACAGAGTAGGTCTATTTAATAAGTATTAGCGAGGGCTCTCTTCTGCCATGATTACATAATCTAAGACAGCATCACTTTGTTAGTCATGCCATGTCCATTTGCTTATTTTAAAAGGAAATAAAAATAATTATATTTGAGCATATCAAAATAGCATTTCCATCAATAGTTCAAACTGACTACTAAATTTTTAAATAAAAGTTCCTCAGGGTTTATCTTATAAAACAACAGTAAGAACTAAAGCAATAAAATCCAATTTGCCAAGTGAAAACATTACCTCTACATCGGTATGCTTTTGTAGTTCTTGTATCATGGCCATAGTCTTATTCAAAGTAGTATAAATGCGTCTCTTAGTCTCTTTCTGCTCAATAGCAGAGGGTTTAAAACGTGCATACAAAGTTTGGTATCGAGACTTTATCGCTGACAATTCCTTTAAGAGTGTAACTGGATTTTTCTACATCAGGAAAAAAGTTAGTAAATATGAAATGATGGAATGGAAAAATTGAGCTTCTTCAGAATTAAAATATATCATACTTACTATTAGCTATTTAAATGAGCACTGTTGATATGTATACAACTACATGACAGAGGATGGGGGGAGTATAAGATCTAGAGAATATTATCAAGGAAGTAATACCCTAGGTATAGAAATCACACACACTCACACACACACACATTAAACAGCAAATAAGATCATTTTAGATGTATATATTTCATGCACATTTCATAACCACACATTATTTCTAAATATAATTTTTTTTTTTGGTACTGGGTATCGAACACTGGACCTTGGGCTTGGGAGGCAGGCGGCAGAACCACTGAGCTAAATCCCCAGCCCTCTAAATATAATTTTAAATGCCATTCAGAAGATTAAAGCTACTACTTTGATTTGTTCTTCAAGAATAGGATAACTTGAAACCACTAATTATAAAATTAATAAACATAATTCCATGAGGCTAAAATATAAGTAAATACTAATTAAATATACACACAAAATATAAAATTCATGCCTACTCAACTGTATAAACTACATTGGTTTTTCAAATTCATTTTGTAATAAAAATAACTACTGCCAGCCATAGTGGTGTGTGCCTATAATCCCAGCATTCAGGAGGCTGAGGCAGGGGGATTACCAATGCCAGCTTGGGCTATATACTGATAATGGCCACCCTGAACTATATTTTTTTTCTTACTATTTATGTTTATGAAAGATACTCCAATTAGTCTGTTCTCTCTGTCACATGGTACTGAACTCTTTTCATTCCCTGCAGATTCCTATTTCAAACTTTCTGTCCTTCCTCCAATACCCATCTACTTGTTCCTTCTTACACATGACCTCACCAAATGCCTTGCTAAGACAGAAACAATCCAGTAGAAACCCAATCTTCATGACTGTTCATCCCAAAATAAAAATATCTAGAGACATTTTCATCTTTATTTTATTTTATTTTATTTTTTTGGTACTGGGGCTCAAACTCGGGTCCTTACACTTGGAAGACAGGCCACTGAACCACTGAGCTAAATCCCTGGCCCGAGACATTCTCATCTTTATTTAGCCCGTCACCACCACTGCTATTGTTTCCTTCCCATATCCTGTAGAACTTTCAAAACTAGCTGTTCTTTTTTCTTTTTCTTTCTTTTTAAGACAGGGACTTACTTTGGTAGTTCAGACTGAGCTTGAACTCACTATGTAGACTAGACTATCTTTGAACTCATGGTGTTCCTCCTGCCTCAGCCTCTCAAGGGCTGTAACTATAGGGGTATGCCACTACACCCAGCACGTGGCCTGCTTACGACTAGACCACCACATCACAAAGAAAAAAAAATGTACACTTAGCCTGCTTTGTTTAAATACCTGGCTCTTCAGAGACACCTCTTATTAACATTTGTAAAATTGCACTGCACTTTAATTTTGTATCTATAATACCTCAATTCATTTTTTGATTTTATTTAAGTGAGTGATAAAAGTTCATAAAAATATACAAGAAATGCTCTGCTAATGCTAATGCTCATCATGAAGGAAAGGAAAAGAGCTAGTGCATGAGCAAACAGCTGAACGCCAACTCTTTTAAAGAAACAAATAGAAAGGAGGCATTAGTTGTACTATTTACTAAGTTTTAAAAAATTGACAGGGAGTTGGGGATTTAACTCAGTGGCACCATTTAGTTCAGTAGCACCATGCCTGCCTCATAAGCACAAGGTCCTCAGTTCAATCCCTGGTACCCACCTGAAAAAAAAAAAAGACTGTCAGGGAAATCCTGGTAAGGTAGCACATCCCTGTCTTCCCAACTCAGAAAACTGAGGCAGGAGGACTGCCTAGAGTTAGTTCAAAGCAAGCCTGGGCTACATAGTGAGTTCAAGGACAACCTGAACTACATAGGGAGACACTGCCCCAAAAAATAAAAATAAAAATAAAAACAGAAAAAGGCAAGAAAAATGCTTATAAAATAAAACAAAATTACCATTTTGGAACAAGGGTGAAAACTCAGTAATAGGAACTTACAGCTTATTGACTCTGTCTGTAAAAATAGACCCTCGAAATATAGTTATTGACAGCCTCCAAATCATAAATGTTACTGACAGAGGACAATGCAGCTAAATAAAAATACATGTATGTATGTGGATCTGAGTAAACACACACACACTTACCATGGATGGCTGGCACATATGTCAATGAATATTTACTACCAGTACACACAGTGTATCACTATAGGGAGATGGTAAATGTTAGACAATTGGTGATTTACTGGTTTTTTTTTCTTTTGCAGGCAGGGGCGGCTAACCAGGGATGGAACTCGGTACCTTGTGCTTGCAAGGCAGGCAACGGAACCACTGAGCTAAATCCCGGGTCTTACTTTCCACTTAAAAAAAAATTTTTTTTTTAATTTTTTGAGACAGGGTTTCACTATTTAGTTCAAATTGGCTTTGAACTCAGTGTACCCCAAGCTGGCCTCAAACTCAGTGATCCTCCTGCCTTGGCCTCCCAAACTCTAGGATTATAGGCATACACCACCATGTTGGGCATTTTCCTCTTTCTTACTTACCTGTAATTTTTCTTTTTCTTTTTTGTTGGGTTTTGTGTTGTTTGTTTCTTTTCTTTCTTTCTTATTTTTGTTTTAGTAGCAGGGATCAAACTCGGGTTCTTGTGCTTGCGAGAATGCAGGCAGCGGAACCACTGAGCTAAATCCCCGGCCGTTTGTTTCTTTTTTATGCGGTACCGGGGATAAAACTCAGGACCTTGCCCTTGCGATTCAGGCGCAATGCCACTGAACTAAATCCCTGGCCCCTTCCTCTTTCTTGATAAATACTCATTAGGCCTAATGTTGGGCAAAACCATGAACATTAAGAGTGGTTTTGTTCCCAAATATAACATACATAAAAAAGGAAGGTAGATAGTTATTGTATAAATATTAAGGTATTTCAAAAGTTCCTCAAAAATTAAAACATGGAGCCTTGCAAGTGCAAGGTCCTGCGTTCGATCCCCAGGACAAAAAAAAAAAAAAAAAAAAAAAAAAAAAAAAAAAAAAAAGAAAGACTGCTGGGTCAGGGATTTAGCTCAGTGGTGCTGCTGCCTGCCTTGAAAGCACAAGGACCCAAGTTTGATCCCCAGGAACAACAACAACAACAAAAATATAATGTTGAGTGTGATGGTGCACGTGCACACCTGTAATCCCAGCATTTTGAGAGGCTGAGGCAAAAGGTCTGCTCTGAGTTTGAGGCAGAAAAAAAAAACCTAAGGATGTAAAATGATTTAGCTTCTTTGACAGTTTGGTGGTGCCTGAAAATATTAAGCATGAGGGCTGGGGATTGAGCTCAGTCGCACCTGTGCCTGCCTGGCAAGCACAAGGTCCTGAGTTCAATCCCTAGTACCACAAAAAATAAAACAAAACAAAAAAAAGTTAGGATAATTTAAATATAATTCTGAAATGCCATGAACTAAGCATTAGAAAGTAAACATTCATAAGGCCGGGGATTTAGCTCAGTGGTTCTGCTCCCTGCTTTTCAAGCACAAAGTCCCAAGTTAAATCCGATCCCCCCCCCAAAAAAAAGTAAATATTCATGAAGTTTGCCTGATTTTGTATAATAAGTCGCTTTAATTTGTACTTCTATCTAGTCAAAAATTTTTTTAATATGTTTAACTTTTTTTTTTTTTTTGAGACAGGGTCTCACTATGTAGATGAGACTGACCTGGAACTCACTATGTAGTCCAGGTTGGTCTTAAACTCACAGCGATCCTCTTGCCTCAGCCTCCCGAGTACTAGGATTACAGGTGTGCACCACCACGCCCAGCTCATGGTAAACTTTTTGAAGACTATAAAATACAGTATTTTTTGTTTGCTGGAAAGACCTGTCAAAAGATATTAATGTTTTTAGGCATCACTTGCTTTTATTCTATGGGCATGTATACTTACAGCAATGATTTTATGGCCTTTGAATAGAGTCTGCTGGAGGCAGTAGTATGTACCTATACTCCCAGCTACTCAAGAGGCTGCGTCAAGAGGATTGTTTAAGCCTTGGAATTTGAGACTGGCCTGGGTAGAACTGTGAGAACTCCATCTCAAAAATAAATAACTAAATGAATAGATATTATTTCTAATCCACCTCATCTTACAATAACTAAGCACATAATTTTATGCAAAATCAGTGCTCATATTGTATAATGAAACAAACTAACAGTAAATCATCCTGCTCCTAGGAGAATAGCATGGCTGCTAATACTTACAGAAGAACCACTGCCCTAAAATAGCAGCTATATTATCTCAGAATTTCAGAGGTTTCTACCCTGGTTTGTTCCTTGGAGTTCAATGATTATTTTTATTTTGGGTGCTCATGATGGCAAAAATCTCTACCACTGAGCAACATCCCCAGCCCCAGCCCTCAATGATTCTTCTTTTCTTTTCCTTTTTTTTTTGGGGGGGGTGGGTTCCTGGGAATTGAATTCAGGACCTTACAACTTGCTCAGCATCAATGATTCTTTTTTAAAAGTTAGGAAAATATAACAAGCAGCCAGGCGTGGTGATGCACACCTGGTATCCTAGCACTTGGGAGGCTGAGGCAGAAGGATTGCTGTGAGTTCAAGAATGGCCTGGGATACGTAATGAGTTCCAGGTCAGACTCAACTACATAGTGAGACCCGGTCTCAAAAAAAAAGAAAGAAGGGCCAGGGATTTAGCTCAGTGATTCCGCCACCTCCCTCACAAGTGCAAGGACCTGAGTTCGATCCCTGGTACCAAAAAAAAAAAAAAAAAAAAAAAAAAGAAAGAAAATATAACAAGCAAAGCACCACAAATTTCACCAATGATGGTTATAATCTTTTCAATATGCCCTGACCAAGCCTCCATCAATTTTAAGACTCTATAAATTCAACATAACACAATTGTTAATATGTAATTGCTTCTATTTTTTTATTAGTAGAAATATTAGGTTTGGGAATACAGTTTAGTGGTACAGCATTTGCCTAGCATGTGCAAAGCCCTGAGATCAATCTCTATTACCACACACACACACACACACACACACACACACAAAGTATACTATTAGAAACATTACCAGAAAATCTTTTTACAAAATATTCAGTTAAAAAGGTTTATTCCGGGGCCAGGGATTTAGTTCAGTGGTTCTGCCACCTGCCTCGCAAGCACAAGTTCCCAAGTTCGATCCCCGGTCCCAAACGAAACAAAAAGGTTTATTCAGGGCCAGAGATGTAGCTCAGTGGTGCTGCCACCTGCCTTGCAAGCACAAGGTCCCCAGTTCGATCCTGGAACCAAAAAAAAAAAGGTTTATTCATTTTATAGATTACCTCTCCTGCTGAATCAGGATGATTAGTCTTGATTTCATATTCCAGCCTGTACTGAATGTAATCCAGATCAGAGTCAGCTTTCTGGAACTAAAAATCAGTACAAATAATTATTTTATAAACCAAAACACATATTAGTAACCAAAATGCATTAGTCTTTCTTTACTTTTTATATTTTTTGTTATTTTAATATGTAATAAATACTTTGAAAAGATGAGACTGTTATATAGAATGGTACTTGCCTAGCATGCAATATAAAAATTTTAAAACTAGTTAACATTTTGAAATTATTTTCCATGTAACTCTCTTAGATTTAAGCCAAATGAGATTCTAAGTAGCCACTGTTATATGCTGTATTAATAAAAAATCATACTGGCGCCTGCCTCAAAAGCACAAGGACCCAAGTTCGATACCCAGTACCAAAAAAAAAAAAAAAAAAAATCATGAACAGCTCCACAGGGTCAGTAATGATCAGGTAAATAGCATTTTCCTACCTTTGACAGGAAATATGGTTTCAAATTAAAATACAGAACAATTAGCCGAATTAGCCGGGCGTGGTGGCGCATGCCTGTAATCCTAGCACTTAGGAGGCTGAGGCAGGAGGATCGCTGTGAGTTCGAGACCAGCCTGGGCTACATAGTGAGTTCCAGGTCAGTCTCAACTACATAGTGAGACCCTGTCTCAAAAAGCAAAAAAAAATAAAAATAAAAAAATACAGAACAATTTTATTTCAGGGATACCCAGTTACCTTTATTAGAAATACACCACATTGACCAAAGAGCTACTAATATATGCCACCACAATTAGAGGCCATCAAGAGGTATAAAATTAGAATAGTTTCTCTGGTGTGAGAAGCTAAAAGTAAATAAGATCCAAATTGTATAACTGATAATGTGAAATAGGAAGAAAAGGGCTAAAGGTATAGGGGAAATAGGAAGGGAAAGGAAATAAGGTAAAAGAAAAAATATGAGAAAAGGAAAAAATGGAAACAAAGTCTTTGTAAATAGGGGAGGGTGGAGGGGGTGAAGGGAGGACAGGTATGTGGGGAAAAAATGAGAGAAAAAAACTAAGTCAGGATAGTTAAGTGTGGTGGTAAACATTTATAATCCCAACATTTGGGAGGCTTGGGTAGGAGGATTACCACTGAGTTCAAGGCCAGTCTGAGCTATATAGTGAGTCCAGAAGAGCCTAGACTACAGTAAGACCCTGTCTCAAAAAATAAAAAGAAGGGGCCATGGATTTAGCTCAGTGGTTCTGCTGCCTGCGTCACAAGTGCAAGGTCCCAAATTTGATCCCCAGTACCAAAAATACAAAAATAAAAATAACAAAATAAAAAGAAGCCAGGTGTAGTGGAGCACACCTCTTATCCCAACACTTGGGAGGCTGAGGCAAGAGGATCACCTTGAGTTCAAGGCCAGCCTGAGTTACACAGTGTGTTCAAAACAAGCCTGAACTAGGTAGTGAGACCCTATCTCAAAAATAATTAAATAAATAACAAAATAAAAAGAACAAAAATTTGCAATAAAAAGAGAAAGTGAAGGGCTAGGGATTTAGCTCAGTGGTGCCTCCACCACCTGCCTCACAAGCACAAGGTCCTGAGTTCAATCCCCAGTACCAAAACATAAAAAAAAATAATAAATAAATAAATAAAACTTTAAAAGCCGTTCCAGAAAGATAAGCACTCAAAATCTACATTTGAATTACCTAGAGAAGTCATGTTTACAGAGACAAAAGGTAGAATGGTTGTTGCCAGAGGCTGCAGGGAAGGAGTAATATTTAATTGCTTAATGAGTTATTTAATGGATACATAGTTTCCATCTTGCAAGATAATAGTTCTAAAGATGTATGTTGGTGATGGTTGCATAACAATGTGAATATACTTAATACCCCCAATCATACATTCAAATATAAATAACATTGTAATTATGGGGGAGTAGGATCAAAGGCAAAGTCACTCTACCATAGAGCTACATCCTTAACCTCTTTTGTTATTTTTATTTTGAAATAGAGTTTCACTAAGTAGCCCAAGGGGAACTTGAAGTTGGTATCCCTCTGCCTCAGCTTTCCAAAGTGCTGGGATTACAGGTGTACAGTACTACACCCTACTTAAAATGGTAAATTTCATTTTTGTTGAGAAAGAATCTTGCTATGTAGTACAGGCTAGTCTTGAATTCACAGTGATCCTCTTGCTTCAGTCTCCCAAATGCTTTGATTACATATAGGTGTGCACCACCACACTCACTAAAACGGTAAATTCTATGTTGTATAGATTTTAACACAATTTAAAAATATTTTTGTGGGCCGGGTGTGGTGGCGCATATGCCTGTAATCCCAGCACTCTGGAGGCTGAGGCAGGAGGATCACTGCGAGTTCAAGACCAGCCTGGGCTACATAGTGAGTTCCAGGTTAATCTCAACTACATAGTGAGACCATGTCTCAAAAAACAAAAAAACAAAACAAAAAAAAATTTTTGTGCACAAAAAGATAAATGGGGGCCGGGGATTTAGCTCAGCGGTTTGGTGGCCTGCCTTGCAAGCGCAAGGACCCAAGTTCAATCCCCAGTACCACAAAAAAAAAGATAAATGGAAGTTTGTCCTTTCACTGATTTAATGGATACTGCATTAAACATTAGCAAATAATACAAAGAAATATATTTTCCCTGCTATTTATCATTGTTGGTACTATTTATATCAAGGAATATAGGAAATTAAATTCCCCATATCACAGCTTTATTGAGGTATAATTGGCAAATAGAAATTAAATATATTTAAGATGAAAGTGTAAATAAGGTTCAAATTGTATAATTGACCGTGTGAGCTGGGGATTGAGCTCAGTGGTTCCACCGCCTGCCTCACAAGTGCAAGGTCCCAAGTTCAATCCCCAGTACCAAAAAAGGAAAAGATAATGTGAAATAGGAAAAAAAGCGGGGAGGGGGGACTAAAGGAGTAGGGGAAGTGGGAAGGGTAGGGGAAAGGAAATAAGGGGAAATAAAAAATATGAGAAAAGGCAAAAATTGAAACAAAGTCTTTGTAAATAGGGAAGGGTGGAGGGGGTGAAGGGAAGGCAGGGGTATGGGGAAAAAATAAGAACCAAGACACATCATGTAAAGGTATAAGATCCCAGTGATGAATGTAACTGTACTGTATACCTAAAAGGTAACAATAAACTTCTGTTTGTTTGGTTTTTTTTTTGTACCATGGATCAAACTCAGGACCTTGCACTTACAAGGCAGGCACGGTGCCACTGAACTAAATCCCCAGCCCAAGAAACTTAATAAAAAAAAAGTAGGTTACAATCAGACTACAATGACAAATAAATAATATATTTAAGATGTACACCTTGATGTCTTGATATCGTAATTACTCACTTTTCTACCACACTTTGTACTCCCACAAATAAACAAATAAATCACTACCTTTAAAATATATCTTGCAAAAAGACAAAAGCTTGAGAGTAAAATGTTATCCTCTGGAAAACTGTACCAACATTTTGTGATTATATGCAGGGGAAGTATTTGCTTATTTTTGTTTTTTGGGGGGTTTTTTTGGTACCGGGGATGGAACTCGGGACCTTGTGCTTGCCAGGCAGGCAGTGGAACCACTGATCTAGATCCCTGGCCCCATTTTTGGGGTTTTTAAAATTGATTTTATTTGGTACCTTTTAGATATACATAATGATCACATTCATGATACGGAATTTTTATATCTACATAATTATCTTCATTCTTCTTTTTTTCCCCAGTCCTCAAATATTTGTTTTTGAAGTTAATGGCCTAGGCCATTGATGGCAAACCTTTCAGAGCTTTCAGTAACAGCCTGCTGTAGCATTCATGCCATAGGTTCACCACCACACTGGTCTAGGCAATAAGCAGGGGATTAAAAAAAATGCTAAATGCAGTAGTCTGAGTGACTTCATGTACTTCAGTATTCATTACTTTTTTTTTATGTAGTGAGACTAAAGTAATATACGTTATTAAAACAAATAAAAAAAACAGGTGTCAAGGTGCACACCTAATAATCCCAGCACTCTGGGAAGCTAAAGGAGGGACACAAGTTCAAGACCAGGCTGGGAAATTTAGCAACTTACCAAGACCCTGTATAAAAGTAAATAAAAAGAGCTGAGGATGTAACTCAGTGCAAAGGCCCTGAGTCTCACCTTTAGTACCATGGAGGCTGGAAAGGGAATATAGACATGGAAAAAAATGCAAATTCTTAAAGCTATTTTAAAAGTTTTAGATACAGTATTGCTAAACTTAAAAAGTCAAATAATTCCCTCTGAATATAACCTAACATTATGGTATAGAAAAAGGAAAAGAAAGAAGTACATTAAGTGGTAAAAGTTCTAGTCCTAGGCCGGGGATTTAGCTCAGTGTTGGTGGGCCTGCCTCCCAAGTGCAAATTCCTGAGTTCAATCCCCAGTACCAGAAAAAAAGAAAGTTCTAGTCCTTCTGTCCCTAACGAGCTATATGGCCTTAGGAGAGTCCTCATTTCTCTGGGTCTCTATTACATGAGAGAGTTGTAATCTCGGGTAGCTTTCAAGACTGTAGTTCTGTTTCCTTATATTACAAATAAACTCAAGTTCAACTTAGCAAAATGTTAAAAACTTAGAAAACATAAATGTTGCCTTCCAGCAAATTAAAATTTTGAGCCAGGTGTAGTGGTGCACACTAGTAATCCCAGCACTCAACAGGCTCAGGCAGTCAGGCAAGGTGGCATCTCCTAAAAACCCAGCACTCAGCAGGCAGAGTGGGAGGATGGATGCTAGTTCAAGGCCAGCCTGAACTACAGAGTAAGACCCTGTCTTTAAAAACAAACCAAAAATAAGAACCAAGATACATAATGTAAAGGAGCAAATTTTCAATGATGAATGTCATTATATTGTGTACCTTAAATGTACCGATAAATTTTCTTTTAAAAAAGTCTCAGCAGGAGGACTGCTTCAAATTTGAGGCCAGCCTGAGTTACATGCTGAGTTCTAGGTCATTAAAATTCTAGCTCTTTAAAAAAATTTTTTTTGATGTTTTAGCCTCAGATTTTAATATTTATAGTGAAATGTAGCTGCTACTATTTTCTTCTTCCTAAACATGACTT